AAGTTATCCCTTCGTCAAAATACAGACCCAAGTTCGAATCCAGATGTGATCAGATGACCAAAACACAATCATTCTGAATTACCTACCTTCTTCCCCCGAATACAACGTACGGTCATTATAGCTGTATTTGTGGCACCTTTCAGTCTAGATGCAGCTATATGACCGTACGTTGTATTCGGGGGAAGAAGGTAGGGCGGGTCAGTTCAGTGATGATATCTCAAGAGTCAAGGCCTAGCCCCCCGGTGTCCCTCCGGAGGCTGCAGCTGCTCCCCAACGCAGTGTCTCAATTGAGCTCTCCTCATAAGCCGAAGCTGGGTTACGGCCCCGGTCACCGGTGTTCCCAAATATGTGTATACATAGTGTGACGCTGGACCCAGTTGCCAGCAGGTCTTGCTCTCCCCACCACCAATAGACGGAGCCCCCTCCATAAGGGTACTTTTGTGGACGCTCATACCACGCACAACAGTACCTCCCCTCTGGGGTTTTGTGTTAGAAAACAGAACAACAAAAAAGGGAGGAAGAGAAGAAAAACAAAATGCATGTCGCTAAGCACCCTGCTTCTGAATCGCCGGACTTCCATCCTCGTTGCCCTAAAGGCCCCTAAGTACCCGCACGATACACTCTCCCCCCTTTGGGAAAACGCTGTCCCTTCATTACCGTCTTCCCCCGATCATAACGCACCCTAAAAATGAATGCATACGAATTATATTTCCGGCCAGATACAGCCAAAATGAGGGTGCGTTGTGTTCGGGGGAAGACGGTAGTCCCGAGGGGCATTTGACCTTATCAGCATAATCCCCACCCAATGACACCTTTCACCTTGGGAAAGTCGAGAATCCCTACCAACCACCAGGTCCACCACACAAGTCTATGCCTGTGTCAACAGCATTATTTGACCCTACACCAACCAACACGTGCTTTCTTTTTTCCTTTTTTTTCTTTTTTCTCAACATGACCGTTTTCAAATTCCATCTCCACGTCCATTTCCAACTCCATGAGAATTAAGGAGAAGAAGAGAACCCTTAGCCATCCAATCTCCACAAATCAGTAGCTGCTCAACAGGCATCGTGTGATGCTTCTGATGGGCGATGGATAGCGCAACGCCACCACATACAACTACCCTCAACGTAACAAGTATATATGACAATATCACGGTCAACCAGTTTACCGACAGAGAATATACGATGAGGAGATTGATATATAGATTGCAGAAATTTGCAGCAGAAAGACGATCAAATATCCACAAATCAATAGCTGTTCCACAGACAGTACGCCGAGCGATCGAATCTCCACAAAACAGTAGCTGCTCAACTGCTCAACATACATAGTGTCATGACTCGTGGGCGATGGATAGCCCAACGAGCATGGAGGACAATACGATGGTCAACCAGTTGAACCAGATGACCGGCAGAGAACAAAGAATGAGAAGAATAATGAATAGAAAGGAGAAAGACGATCAAATCTCCGCAAATCAGTAGAGCTGTTCAACAGACATCGTGTCATGGGCGATGGATAGCGCAACGCCACCACATGCAACTACCGTCTTCACCCGAACATAACGCACTCTGAAAACGAAAGTATACAAGCTATGTTTCCGGCCACTTACAGTCAGAATGAGGGTGCGTTATGCTCGGCCGAACACGGTACCGCCAACGCAAAGTTATAAAACCTCCCCGCAACTAAGGGCCAGATCCCACTAGTAGCCCCTATTATTCATTTCTGACCGTTAACCTTCGTAATCGAGGGTCAAAATGAACAATAGGGGCTAGTGGGATCTGGCCCTAAGCCGTTGTATTCATTCCCCCCCCCAAAAGGCGCAGAATCTCCCGCCGCAGGAAGTCTCGCAGGTGGACGGATAACGCCGCTGTGCAAAAATGGCGGGAAAAAGTGTTTTACAGGGTGCAAAAATGGCGGGAAAAAGTGTTTTACAGGGTGCAAAAATGGCGCCAAAAAAAGTCATTTTGGGGCCTGCGGCACTTTTTGCCCCCTTTGCGTGCAAATGAATACAAACAAAGGTTTCTTTGCGGGGAGGTTTTATAACTTTTCGGCCTTTTCCCCAATATGATGGTCAACCAGTTGACCGACATGGTCAACTAGTTGAGCGACAGAGAACACAGGATGAGGAGAATGATCATGGATAGAAAGGAAAGGAGAAAGACGATCAACAATGATTCAACATGCAGAGGAAGGAGGAAGGCGAACATTTACATCTGTCATCTGTCATCTGTACGTGAGAGGCGAAATAATTCCCGAGCGCATCAAAGAAAAAAAAGGAAAACAAAAAATTCCCGAGCGCACAGCAGAGCTGTTCAGAGTATATATACAATATGCTAATCTAGAGTATATACATAAAATGATATATAAATAGCTATCTATAATAATTATAATAATAAAACAGTTGAATAAACTCATAAACAATCACAAATACCATATATACAATAAAAATAAATTTCATAAAATAAATGAATATTATATTAAAAAATGTTATAAAATTAGTACTCGTGGAGCCGAGTCAACGCACACACGAAGAGACATAGTCAAACCTCTGTCAACGGCAATTATGAACACAAACGATTCAAAGACGAAAGTTCACGTCTCACACACGTGAGCGACACACATGTACGAGAACTTATTCACGTCGCACACATGAACGACAATGTACGAGAGGAAATTCACGTCGCACACATGAGCGACACACGTCTGTTGAACAGCTGCTGATTTATCAACGGGCCTAGCTCAGCTCGAGAACGTATTCACGTCGCACACATGAACGACAATATACGAGAGGAAATTCACGTCGCACACATGAGCGACACACATGTCTGTTGAACAGCTGCTGATTTATCAACGGGCCTAGCTCAGCTCAGTCGGTACACCCCCGAACTGTTAAAATGCGAATCCTTGAACGAAGAAGACCAAATCCTTCAATGGCCCGGGGGGGGGGGGGGAAGGGTGACACCTCTACATCAGCCATCATTGGCCCATCAACAAGGTAGTCTGCTACGCGCGACGGCGAGTGCCGAACTACCCGACGCTTTTCTTTACCCTTTTTCTTTTCCTTTTTTTTATCTTTCTAATGCGTGTCATCCTCCTTGCGCAGCGGCCATGCTACCGTCTTCCCCCGAACACAACGCACCCTCATTTTGGCTGTATCTGGCCGGAAATATAACTCGTATACATTCATTTTTAGGGTGCGTTATGTTCGGGGGAAGACGGTAATCTTCTCTATATCGTTCCAGGTTAAACAGATGGCCCGAAGGACTACCCGCCGTGGATTCGGCCTATCGCCTTATGGGCGATACATATAGGAGACAGCACTATATGACG